AGGCTGTGGGGGAGGAGACACCGGGGGAGGGGCAGACGGCGAGGACTGCGCCGCAGGACCACCAGAGTCAGAAGACTCCGCGACCGGACAACCGACGGGAGAGGGGTGACGTGGGACACACCAGAGGGGGCAAGATGGGAGGGGGAGGGGGGGGGGGGGGGGGCAGGGACCACCGGGGAAGGAGTGACCAGGAAAAGGGGGGGAGTAACAGGGGGACCGCGGTGGGGGAAGCGACGGTAGAAGGAGACGGACTCGTCAAAGGTGACGTCGCGAGAGTGAAAGAACCGGTGAGACGGCGGGTGGTAGAAGTGCCAGTCGGATGTGTCAAGGGGGAAACCTAGGAAGACGCAGGGAAGGGTGCGGGCAGTGAGCTTGTCTGTGCCAGAGGCACGAACGTGAGCAAGGCAGCCCAGACGTGGAACGCAGACGCGTCACCAGGAGACCCGGTCCAAAGAAGGGTCGGCGAAACCTGCGGCCGCTGGGGGTGCGGCCACAGGTTAAGCTGGTGAGAAGCGTAGCGCACGGCGAACGGCCACAGAAAATGGGTGCACCGGCATGGATCATGGAGGTGTGAGCCACCTCCATGACCAACCCCATTCTGCTGTGGGGAGTCCGGCAGGGTGGACGTCTGGGTGATGCCCTCCGCACGACAGAAGCGACCAAGGACACCTGAGGCAAACTCGCCACCACGGTCGGAGTGAAGACGCAAGACAGGGAGACCTCGGTGGACACGGCAGAGACAAGCCAGGGATGAGAGTGGCAGACATGTCGGCCTTGCGCTCAAGGGGAAAGACTGTGGTATAGCGAGTGAAGTCGTCGACAAGCACAAGGAAGTAGCGCTCTTGACGCGGCCCATGGACGGGGGCAGGGCCCCAGACGTCCATGTGCAGGGTCAACAGCGGCGCGGCGGTAGGGGGAAACGAGGAGGAGTGAGGGGCACGGCGAAGACGACCCTCGATACAAGGCGTGCAACGCGGGGCGGGGGAGGAGGGAAAAGTGGGGAACGAACCAGGTAGACTAAGGACGAGATCGTGCTGGGACATGTGACGCAGACGCGGGAGCGCAGGGTGACCTAGGCGGTGGTGCCAAAGGAGAGTCGGGTGAGTTAGGGACCGACAGGAGCAGGCAGCAGCAACCTGGGTAGACGCAGCCACCTGAAGGGGCGCCCCAGCCGGGGGGTCACGGTGTCCAGGGTGAACAGGCCGGACACCGGGTCCCGGGGGAACGTGGATAGGGGGCACCAGTGCGGCCTCGGTACAGACAGCATACCGCTCGTGACCAGGGAAAGTAGTGGTGACGCCAAGGTTCTGGAGGCAGCCAACACCAACTAGGTTCCTGGAGGACGAGGGGATATGCAGACCTGTGAGAGAACTCGAAGGAACCGCCGGACAGGAAAGTGTGGTGGAACTGCGGGCGACGACTGGACCGCCGGAGCGGTCAGCAAGAGAAACTGCAGCAGGAACAGGAAGCGGCGTCAGCGTAGTAGAGTCGCGGAAGAAACACCGGGAAGCGCCAGAGTCCAAGGTGAAGGAAAGCGAAGCAGTGACGTCTGGCGATGGGGCGACGGCAAAAGCACCAAGGCTAAACAAAGCAGGAGCTCTTACGCTTGACGCAGCAGGGGAGGCTAAGCTAGGCACACCTACACTAGGCGACAAGGAGTAATAAGAGGGGAGCACACTAGAGTCATCAGCATACATCACATGCAGGGCAGAAACAATGGCATCCATGTCCATGTAAAAAATCTGAACTCTACGACTAAGCAAACTGTGCCTGTCTGGGAGGTCGGGCGACGGGCCGAAGCGCTGACGAAAGAGGTCGTCCAGGCGACGAAAGCAGCAGGCAGAGGCGTGACCGATCTTACCACAAACGACGCCGCGGCGAGGACCGGTCTGGATCTGGTACTGACAGCGCACGCCTCCCGAACCGCCACCCGGCACACCACCACGCGCACGACCACCACCAGCGCCAAGCCACCCGGGCGGGAGGGCACTCGCCTGCCTCGACTGCGGCGGCTGCTGCTGCTGCTGCTGCTGCGGCTGCTCTGCTGGACCCCGCAGGTTCCCCTCGTCCGCTCCACCACCAGACGACCCGACTCCACCACCACCTCCACTGGCACCCCCACCTCCTCCGCCGCGCCCAGTCTTGGGGCGGCCCCGGACGGAACTGCACTGCAGCGGCGGTCTCAGCCACAGCTGCAGAGCCATCGGAGAAGGTGTACTGAGCGGGGGCACAACCGTGAAAGATAGGGACCGGCACAGTACCGCTCGCCTGGGTGATAGAGCGGTGGCGGGTCTCAATAACAGTCAGGGTGTTGGCAAATTCTGTGAGGGTGAGGTCATCGGGGTGAATGCTAAGGAAGCGGTCACGAGCAGCGGCAAGGCGGTCAGGGAGGCGGGTGGCAAGCAGGTAGAGGGTAGAGGTAAGGGGCGGCTGGTAGGCTCTAAGCTGTGCGTCAGTGCAGGCAGCGCGCCAGGTCTCATCTATCGTGCGCAGGTGGGCAACCAGGTCAGCTACAGTGGGGAAAGACGCAAGGTCAGGAAAGAGCATCGGTAGGATCACGCGACCCACCAAGGCAGCAGGCGGGGCGGAATAGCGCCGGATAACAGCATCTAAGAAAGCCTGGGCGGTGGTGATAGACCTAAAGCGAGGACGCTCAAACGGGGGGAGGGCATTGCTAATGGCAAGCTGGGTGACAGCATCACGGGAAAGCCAGACAGAGCGAGCGAGGGCAGCAACCGCAGTAGACTCGCGCTCAGCAGGTGTGGGGTCAGCGGGCAGCACAGCAGGGGGGTGTGGGGAGGGAAGCGTACCGTCAAGGTGTGCCGAGAGCGGGTGGCCATCCTGCCGCTGACCAGTGAGGTGGCGGCGGAGGTCGGCTAGCCAGGCCTCGAACTCCAGAGGCTGGCCTTCAGCGTCGAAGCGAAGCTCCGTCGCCATCAGGAACAGGGCTGGGCAGGGCCAGGTGAGGCAGTGTAGCGCGGTATAGGGCAGTGCAGGGCGGTACAGTGTGGTGCAACGCGGTACAGTGTGGTACAGTGCGGTGCAGCACGGTGCCGTGCGGTGCAGAGGGGTGCATTGCAGTGCAAGGTGATGGAGAACCGTACCAGGGAGGGTGCTGTGCAGTAGTAGGCACAAAGAGCGGGCTGCACGCAGATCGGCGGCAGTCCGGCGGGAAGGTGAGCACGGGGCCGGAGATCGACGGGCAGGGCACGCGCAGGGGTCGGCAGAACGGGCGCGGGGGCCAGTAGTGGCGGGCGCCGGGCCGGCGAGGACGGGCGCGGGGGCCAGTTAGGACGCGCGCGGGGCCGGCTAGGACGGGCCTGGGACGGGCGCGGGGCCGGCTAGGACGGGCCTGGGACAGGCGCGGGGCCGGCTAGGACGGGCGCGGGGGCCTGTAGGACGGGCGCGGGGGCCAGCGAGGACGAGCGCGGGGGCCGGCTAGGACGGGCGCAGGAGCCAGTAGGACGGGCACGGGGGCCGTTAGGACGGGCGCGGGGGCCGCTAGGATGGGCACGGGGCCGGTAAGGACGGGCGCGGGGGCCACTAGGACGGGCGCGGGGCCAACTAGGACGGGCGCGGGAGCCGTTAGGACGGGCGCGGGGCCAGCTAGGACGAGCGCGGGGCCAGCTAGGACGGGCGCGGGGCCGGCTAGGACGGGCGCGGGGGCCGTTAGGACGGGCGCGGGGCCAGCTAGGACGGGCGCGAGGGCCGTGAGGACGGGCGCAGGGGCCAGCTAGGACGGGCGCGGGGCCGGCTTGGACGGGCGCAGGGGCCGGTAGGACGGGCGCGGGGGCCACTAGGACGGGCGCGGGGCCGACTAGGACGGGCGCGGGGCCGACTAGGACGGGCGCGGGAGCCGTTAGGACGGGCGTGGGGCCAGCTAGGACGGGCGCGGGGCCAGCTAGGATGGGCGCGAGGGCCGTGAGGACGGGCGCGGGGGCCAGCTAGGACGGGCGCGGCGGGCGCAGCTAGGACGGGCGCGCGGGCGCGGCTAGGACGGGCACAGGGGCGGCTAGGGCCTAGGGCGGAAGCATGGGCGGGCGGCGGGACCTACCTACTGCTGATACCATCTTAAAACTGAGTAATGAATGACTAGAGAACATGGGTACAAGCATACATATCTAAGGGTTGTACTCTCTAAGAGGTGACCCTATACAGTCTATACAAACATTAGATATACTAATGTTTGACACAAGGTACTTTGAACCTTGAAGTTATTGTAGTCGCTCCCTTAAAGAGCTTAAGCACTCATGATATTGGATGTAATACACGTTGAAACACGCGTTCAGATGACACCAAGGGTTAGCTTGGTTTGTTTTACCCGTTACTCTAAGACGTTATGTTGTGCGACGGAGAATGTTTCGAATCACGCGCCCCACTTCCTCCCCGTAATCTTCCTGAGCATGATGTCCCACCTGCCCAAAGCCAAAAAGCATAGATAAGAAGAAATAACGCACGAAATCATTGAGACAAGCGATATGAGAGAGCATGGGTGAGAGTTCCGAGAGGCCATGTTCCAAAGCATTGACATCGAATGCAAGGGAAAAGGTGAGTTCCTCCACATGATAACATGCGGGGGAAAGGCCATGGAGGACATGGGCATGCGGTGAGACCCAATTCTATAACTTCAAAAGTAAATAAACTCGTTCACTGAACTCACCTCGTCTAGAGTCACAAGCACAGCTCCAGCTTTCCTGCAAGCTTCTCTGACCCCGTCGAATGACTGCCAGCGGTCCTTCATCCCCCAGATGACCGTGGCTGAGGAGGAGGGCTGGTTAGGGACGGCAGAAAGGGCCTTCGAGACCAAAGGAAGAGACGCCTGCGAGGGAGGTATGGGAGAGACGTGTAGTGGGGGGAGGAGGGATATACGGACGTTGCAGGCCTGCCAACAGTCCTTCACATGAAGGACTGTGGGGGCGGAGGGGGGGGGGGGGGGTGCCTACAGTCCTTCACACGAAGGACTGTGGGGGGGAGGCGCTGCCAACAGTCCTTCCAAGGCACTAAAAGCCGTTGGGATTCACCCTCTCATTACACACGTCTAGTTCTTCAACTCACGCTTGGAAATGCTCTGGTGACTTTTGAGTCGACTCAAAGGCACTAAAAGCCGTTGAGATTCGCCCTCTCACTGCACGTCTAGGTCGTCTCCTCACGCTTGGAAACGCTCTGGTGATGGCAGCAAGGGCGAATCCTGAGGTTCCACGGGGGAAAGGCAGGAGCAGCAATAACCCACCAGCAATAACCCACCAGCAATAACCCACCAGCAATAACCCACCAGCAATAACCCACCAGCAATAACCCACCAGCAATAACCCACCGGCAATAACCCACCAGCAATAACCCACCGGCACTGCTGTAATTACCTCACTCCCTCGCTCCCTCCCTCGCTCTGCTCACTCTAAGATCCTTCTGAACTGCTCTGGTGATGGTGGTACGAGCGAACCCTGAGGCCCCACTGCAAGGTACAAGGAGCACCAACCCGCCAGCACCGCTGAAATGGCCCCGCCCCCTTCCCCCCTGCTCACCTTGAGAGATCCTTCTGAAACGCTCTGGAGATGGCTGTAAGTAAGAAATGACCCCAAGGCTCCACTGGCAAGGTGCCAGGCGCACCAACCTCCCAGCACTGCTGCAGTCAACCCCCCTCCCTCCTTACCTTGAGATCCTTCTGAACCGCTCTCTATTGATGGCTGTAGGGCGAACCTCGAGCCCCCTTCTTCTGCAGTCCTCCTTAACGCTCTCTGGTGATGGCTGGTGACCTTGAGATCCTTCTGAAAGGCTCTGGTGATGGCTGGGATGGCGAACCCTGAGCCACCACTGGAAAGACACGAGTGCTCCGCTAACCAGGTGCGGTTGCCTACCTGTCAACCTACCTGTCACCTCCCCCCTCACCTTGAGATCCTTCTGAAACGCTCTCGTGATGGCAGTAAGGGCGAACCCCGAGGCACCGCTTGCAAGGTACGGCCGCCTGTAGACCATGGCATCCTCCTCCTCCACCTGGTAGCAGTTCGCCTCCTCCAGAAGCCTGTCGCTGGCTCTTAGGGGATCCTGTGCGCGGGGGGTGGAGAGAGGAGTGGGAGGACAGGGGTGAAGGGGGGAAGAGCGGGATGTGCAGCACTGGCAAGGTACAGCCGCCTGTAGACCATGGCGTCCTCCTCCACCTGGTAGCAGTTCCGCCTCTTCTAGTAGCCTATCACTGGCTCGTAGGAAGTCCTGTGATTGGGAAGGGGGAAGGGAAGCGTGAGGAAAGTGCAGCACTCCCAAGGTGCGGCCGCCTGTAGTCTGTAGACCATGGCGTACTCCTCCTCCACCTGGTAGCAGTTTGCCTCATCTAGTAGCCTATCGCTGGCTCGTAGGGGGTCCTGTGATTGAGCAGTGGAAGGGGGAGAGACGGAGTGAATCACGTGCGATGCTGCCAAGGTGCGGCAGCCTGTAGACCACCACGGCACCCTCTTTCCCCCACCAGAGAGCACCCCGCCTCCTCCAATACTCGGTCGCTCGCTCTGTGGTGGAGTGGGGGGGGGAGGAGTGACTCACGTGCGACACTGCCAAGGTACGGCCGCCTGTAGACCATGGCACACACTTCAACCACCAGAGAGCACCCCCCCTCCTCCTAAGCTCAGTCACTCGCCCTTAGAAGGTCCTGTGACTGGGAAAGGGAGGTGGAAGGGGAAGAAGGGGAATGGGGAGATAAGGGAAAGGGGAGGTAAGGGAAAGGGGAGGTAAGGGCAAAGGGAGGTAAGGGAAAGGGGAGGTACGGGCAAGGGGAAAATTGACGGAGGTGCAGCCAGCACTTGCTGGGCATGGTCGCCATAACTGGGCGAATATTCCTGAGAATTCTCCAAAACCTCAGGCGAGGCCAAAGCAGATATGAATCTGTGGTGAAGTAGAAGGAAACCTTCAGGCCATACCTAGGCGATCCGTCAGAATTCTCTTTTTGAGGCGCCTCAAAAATAGACTCTAGGCCCTCGGGCCGAGATATGGCCTGGAGTTTTCCTTCCATTTCACCACAGATTCATATCCACGGGACTCAGAAACTTCCTGGTGACTTTTGAGTCGACTCAAAAGGGACTCAAAAGGGACTCAAAAGGGACTCAAACGGGACTCAAAAGGGACTCAAAAGGGACTCAAAAGGGACTCAAACGGGACTCAAAAGGGACTCAAAAGGGACTCAGAAACTTCCTTGGCGAATATTTCTCCGAGCAGGAAGCTGGAGATGCAGCGAGAGACGAGGGGAGGGCGCCCATTTAGGGGAGGGCCCCACCTAGGGAAGGGCGCCCACCGAGGAGAAGGCCCCACCTAGGACAGGCAGCACGTGGGTAGGGATTGCATACCCTCTCGGGCAACAGACGTACCCTAGCGAGCAGTTAACCATACCTGGGCGAATATTTCTCCGAGCAGGAAGTTGGAGAATTCAGCGAGAGATGAGGGGAGGGCCCCACCGACCGCACAGGGGACAGGGTCCCACCGAGGAGAAGGCCCCACCTAGGACAGGCAGCATGTGGGGAGGGATCCATACCCTCCCTGGCAACAGACATACCCCCTAGCAGGCACTTCACCATACCTGGGCGAATATTTCTCCAAGCAGGAAGTTGGAGAATGCAGCAAGAGACGAGGGCAGCTTGGAGTGCTTGTCTGTGATCTGAGTGGTTTTGAGGGGTGGAGAGGGGTGCAGAGGGGTGGAGAGGGGTGCAGAGGGGTGGAGAGGGGTGGCGGAAGGCGGAACACCGCGGAAAACGCGTTGTGTTAGAATGCAAGCAAATGAAACAGGTATTGTGGTGCCTGGTTGTATATTTTTTAGATTTCTAAAAAATGTATCAGGTATCGTGGTGCCTGGTTGTATTTTTTAGAATTTAAAAAAATAACAGGTATTGTGGTGCCTGGTTGTATTGCTTAGCTGTGGCACTTGGCTGGGACGCTTACTGGAGGATTGATAAATATGAGATGGCGGATCCGGGCAGGGTTGGAAAGGACAAACTCAGCTGCGGGCAGACAAAAATACCCCTGCATGAGACGAGCAGGGCAGAGAGAAAAAGAACGGGATGGGAAGGAGTGAGTACGGTAGAGGTCAGCTGAAAGAAATCTGAGATGCCTCAGGGGCAGTTGATGGCACAAAAGAATGGAGCAAGGCAAAGGGCAAGAAGATGGGGGGAAATGAGAGAATGGTTATGTAGGTCACTTTTGAAAAGGTAGTTGTGAGACGTCACTTTTGAAACGTCTCAAAACTCACATACTTAGAACGGCACCAATGTCACCAACCCCCACTCCCATCGCTGCCTGCCACTAGTCGACTTTTGAGTCGACTCAAAAAACGACTCCTTACACACGTCGACTCAAAAATCGACTCCTTACACACGTCGACTCAAAAATCGACTCATTACACACGTCGACTCAAAAGTCACCAATGTCACCTCCTCCCTGTGTAATGAGTCGACTCAAAAGTCACCTATGTCACCAACTCCCACTCCCATCACTGCCTGCCACTAGTCTCCCCAGTTCTTGATTTTGCAGGGCGTTTTCGAGAATTCTCAAGAGCACCCATCACGGCCGCCAGTCTCCCCAGTTCTCGCCCTCAGTCACTCGAGGCAGGCATAGCCGAATGAATGAGGAAGCGATTGGGTATGAGACAGTGGGGGTTGAAAGACAGCAAGTGAGGGGCTCACCTGAGCGGCAATGGAGCGCTCTTCCAGACCAATCATCGCTCCCACCAGCCTCCCCAACTCACGCCCATAGTCACCCAGGGAATGCCCGAACCTCCACCAACAAGGGGAAGATCCAGCGTGGGCGTGAGAAGCCCACTTGAGCCACAAGGGAGGGCTCTTCCAAAGCCATCGCTCCCACCAGCCTCCCCAGCTCGCGCCCATAGCCCTTCGGGGAATACCCGGACCTCTTCCCAGTGAGGAGGATATAGAGTGAGGATATAGAGTGAGGATATAGAGTGAGGATATAGAGTGAGGATATAGAGTGAGGATATGGAGTGAGGATATAGAGTGAGGATATAGAGTGAGGATATAGAGTGAGGATATAGAGTGAGGATATAGAGTGAGGATATAGAGTGAGGATATGGAGTGAGGATATAGAGTGAGGATATAGAGTGAGGATATAGAGTGAGGATATAGAGTGAGGATATAGAGTGAGGATATAGAGTGAGGATATGGAGTGAGGATATAGAGTGAGGATATAGAGTGAGGATATAGAGTGAGGATATGGAGTGAGGATATAGAGTGAGGATATGGAGTGAGGATATAGAGTGAGGATATAGAGTGAGGATATAGAGTGAGGATATGGAGTGAGGATATAGAGTGAGGATATAGAGTGAGGATATAGAGTGAGGATATAGAGTGAGGATATAGAGTGAGGATATAGAGTGAGGATATGGAGTGAGGATATAGAGTGAGGATATAGAGTGAGGATATAGAGTGAGGATATAGAGTGAGGATATAGAGTGAGGATATAGAGTGAGGATATAGAGTGAGGATATAGAGTGAGGATATAGAGTGAGGATATAGAGTGAGGATATAGAGTGAGGATATAGAGTGAGGATATAGAGTGAGGATATAGAGTGAGGATATAGAGTGAGGATATAGAGTGAGGATATAGAGTGAGGATATAGAGTGAGGATATAGAGTGAGGATATAGAGTGAGGATATAGAGTGAGGATATAGAGTGAGGATATAGAGTGAGGATATAGAGTGAGGATATAGAGTGAGGATATAGAGTGAGGATATAGAGTGAGGATATGGAGTGAGGATATAGAGTGAGGATATAGAGTGAGGATATAGAGTGAGGATATGGAGTGAGGATATAGAGTGAGGATATGGAGTGAGGATATAGAGTGAGGATATAGAGTGAGGATATAGAGTGAGGATATAGGAGTGAGGATATAGAGTGAGGATATAGAGTGAGGATATAGAGTGAGGATATAGAGTGAGGATATAGAGTGAGGATATAGAGTGAGGATATAGAGTGAGGATATAGAGTGAGGATATAGAGTGAGGATATAGAGTGAGGATATAGAGTGAGGATATAGAGTGAGGATATAGAGTGAGGATATAGAGTGAGGATATAGAGTGAGGATATAGAGTGAGGATATAGAGTGAGGATATAGAGTGAGGATATGGAGTGAGGATATAGAGTGAGGATATAGAGTGAGGATATGGAGTGAGGATATGGGACCCACCTGAGCCACAAGAGAGATTTCTTCCAGCCCCAATGTGGCCACCAGCCGCCCCAGCTCGCGCCCATAGTCACTCGGGGAATACCCAAACCCCTTCTGGTCCGCCTGGGGCTTGTCCGAGCCTCCGAACCCGAGCCAATCCGGCGCAATGCACCGCACTGCGATGGACTCATCCGAGCCTGCTGCTCCTGCTCCTCCTGCGATCCCTCCTGCTGCTATTCCTGCTGTTTCGGCTCCTGCTACGCTAGCGGCAGGAGTAGTGGTGAGGGGAAACGTCCCCGGGGTGATGGTGTGGATGACTCGGCGGAAGGAGTAGCTCTGAGAGGGGAGGCCGTGGAGGAGGAGGAGAGGAGGGGAGGAGGAAGGGGAGGAAGAGGCGTCGTCGTTCGCCTGTGTGTCGAGGGCAAACCACCTGTCGGTACAGTGGGGGCAAAAGCAGATGCAACCGACGTGATTGTGTGGATGACTTGGCGGAAGAAGTAGCTCTGAGAGGGGAGGCCGCGGAGGAAGAGGAGGTGAGGAGGGGAGGAGGAGGGGGAGGAGGAGTCCTTGCCTGCCTGTGTGTCGAGGACAAACCGCCAGCACGGATCCTGAAAGTTGAGAAGGGAACACAAGCAGCAGCTCTGAGAGGGGAGGCCATGGAGGAAGGGGAGGAGGGGAGGAGGGGAGGAGGAGGGGGAGAGGAGGGGAGGAGGAGGGGGGGAGGAGGGGGAGGAGGAGGGGAGGAGGAGGGGAGGAGGAGGGGGAGGAGGAGGGGAGGAGAGGAGCGGAGGAGGAGGGGGAGGAGGAGGGGAGGAGAGGAGCGGAGGAGGAGGGGGAGGAGGAGGGGGAGGAGGAGGGGGAGGAGGAGGGGAGGAGGAGGGGGAGGAGGAGGGGAGGAGGAGGGGGAGGAGGAGGGGAGGAGAGGAGGGGAGGAGGAGGGGGAGGAGGAGGGGAGGAGAAGGGGAGGAGAGGAGGGGAGGAGGAGGGGGAGGAGGAGCGGAGGAGGAGGGGGAGGAGGAGGGGAGGAGAGGAGGGGAGGAGGAGGGGGAGTGGCTCTGAGGAGTAGCTCTGAGCCCCACCCGTCCCCTCTCTCACCTGAGCCCCTCAGCCGACGCCTGAAAGCCCTCCCCCATCCTGAGCCCGAACACGGGGTCTCGCACCTCCTGCACCCCCCCTGCTGCCCCGTCTCCTGCTGCCACCGCTACTAGCTTCCCCCTCCCCTCCCACTCCTCCGCCCTCCCCCCTCCTTCCGCATATTTCCCTGTGGTAGAGAAAGAAGGGGGAGGGGGGAGAGGTGGGGGGGGAAGAAGGAGAAAGGAAAGTGATTCGAATCCCCCACAATCCTGAGCCCAAACACGGAGTCTCGCGCGCCTCCTGCACCCCCCTGCTGCCACCGCTACTAGCTTCCCCCTCTCCTCCCACTCCTCCGCCCTCCCCCCTCCTTCGGCGTACTTCCCTGTGGGGTTGGGTAAAAAGGAGGAAAAAGAGGAAAAAGTGGGGAATTCCGAATTTTCTTTACTCCTCCCCTTCGTGCGCTGATACCAGCACCATTCTCCCCCACGCCTTCCCTCCGTGCGCTGATATGCTCGCTGAAGATCTCAGTTCGTCACTCCCACCGTCGGCCACCAACTCGCGTTTGTCTTAAAAAGGAGAATGAACGCGAGAAGACTGAACTTGATCGAAAAAAGGAGTGTGATTGTAACGAGGATGAACGGAGAAGTAAAATCGTAAGTAAGCCAATGCGACACAATGTGATAACAGTCACGAATATTCAAATTAGCGTCATTCGTTAGTGGCAGCATTCGTATTAGTCACAGGCGTACCGCCGACGAAAGAGAATCCGTCGCCGACCGACACGGGCGCGTCGATTAATCCGCTGCCATCGTCGTCATCCTCGATATAGTAATCCCCGTTATCGTCCTCGTCCACGTACAGCGCTCTTACGACATGAGCAGATCGGTTAGCAGAAAAACTTCTGCTTTTAACGCCTGAGTTACTAGCGGGAATAGTTTTTAGTAACTTTCTACCGTGAAATGCGGAATGCAATGCCAGATTCAGCCGGTGCGATGGACTAAGGTGGCCGGCATCGCTCCTGACAAGCTGACGTGTTCTTGCCTGCCACGTGGCATCTGGGAGGTGAATTTTCCGGACAGACGGTAGAGCTGCCGTCAGGGCGGTTAACGGGGTTCGCGCCGCGGCAGACGACGCGAGAGCCGCCATGACACTGAGAACACAGCACCCACGAGAAAAATATGTACGGCGGCTTCTATGGTAGTGACAGGAGGAATGACTGATGTAAGTGGGGTGGGAATACGCACCAGAATAACATTCTTTTGCGTTCAGAGTTCAAGTAGGTGAACGTGTGTTGCGTATATTACTCGTTGAAATCCCGTTAATAAAGATCATGCTGGTTTAATTCCCACCGTGTGCTTTTGTCGAGCGGCTTCGATATTAGATACCGCAGCTGGTTTGGTTGGAGCCGTCACAGAAACTGCCCTGGTTTGGGCGAAGGGAAGCGCACGTATTTGATTGGAGGCAGCGCTTCGCAAATCTCGACTGCAGGAGTTATGGACGTTTGGGGTGCGGCTCCGTCAATGAATCTGACAAACAAGCGAAAACGCTCCGTCGGGGAGGTCAAACATGGTCACGGTTTGGGCGAATTTCGCAGCTGTCGTCGCGCTTCGCTTTGATTAGCGGCAAGGCTTGCGGGCCGCACAACCATCACCCGCACGGATTCCAGCGCAGGTGCATTCGAAAGTCTGGCGGAAACGGTAACTAGTGTACACTGTAGTTCGTCCCGCTCAAGCTAATTTACCAACGCGGAATGCCAAATAACCATTCAGCCTGGATGAACTAGCCACTTGGGGAAAATCGTAGAGCTGGACAGGAATCCCGTAGGCGGATTCCGTCAAGGCGGACACGAATTTGCGGGCTGATTTGGAAGGAACTTCACCATTCAGTCAAGCATCAAACCGAAAAGCGGGCGAACACGAAACGGAACCAAACGAACCACGCCACCACCACATCCGAACCCGAACCGCATACACGAGGCGCGATGGGGCAATTTGATCAGCCACGCCAAATTGATCGACCGTGCGGGATGAAATTTCGAGAGGGCCTTTGCGCCAAGCCATCCACTTTCCGCATCAGAGAAAGCTTCCCCGAAATTTGTTTCCCCCTGTGGGAAAATACCCTGCCTGCTTGGTTTCCCAGCCAGAGATGGGCAGGCGCAAGGCTCTACTAGTACCCATTCCTAGCAGGCAAAGCACTAGGTTCCGTGCACGATTGCGCGTTCCGCTCTTCCAGAAAGCGCGTTTCAACTTTCAGCCCGCAGCACAGGCTCGCCCCCTTCCGCGAGCCCAACGCCGTCGTCTTGCGCCCAACGTCCCCTTTCCGCAGCCCCCACGTGCGCCTCTCAGCGGTTGTGCGGCTTGGGGCGGGACCAGGGCTTGTCCGTGCGGCGACTGAGAAGGCAGGGCGATCTAGGAGCCGTCGATCTAGCCATCGATTTCATTGAGATCGAGCCGCAGGGGCCAGAGGGCAGAGCACAGAGGGCTATAGAGTACCGAAGCATGCCAAGGCAAATCGAGCTCTAGAGCCTGAGAGTTTGAGAGGCTACGAGGCTAGAAACCCCTCAGGCCTGCGTGGTCTCGACTCGAGAGCGCTGCAGCCATCACGCACAAGAAACGCCTCCCCCGCTAGTAATAGAGCGACGTGCTTTGGTGACGCTCTCTGGTTGTCGAGAAACGTGATGAGGTGACACCCTCTGGTCCTTGAGGGATCGGTTCTTGAGGGGTACCTCCGTCATTCCAGGTGATAGCTCCCCCAGCTTTCATTCTCATCGGTGCTTGCTCACAGTCGAGTCATAATTCGCGCTAGTGACTCGATCTAGTTGTTGAGAGACGTGCGTGAGTGAACACTCTTTCGTGTACAACCTTTCTAGGGTCTCGGTCTTTGAGGACTCGCTCTCTCATTCCACGTGAAAGCTCACACAATCCAGCTCCCCCAGCTTTCATTCCCGATCGAAACGTCGGAACTCGGCCGTCGTGGTCCTTCCCCCCTCTCGTCTACCGCGCACCCTTCGTACGCCTGACTCAGGCACTATACAAGCCTCACGCAGCGCATACTCGCTCCAGTTTCCGATTCATAGCTCGAAAGGCTACGTTTCCTCTTCATAGCTCCAGCGTTTTATACATTCTGGCCGGCCCAAAGGCGGCACGGTAGTTAACGCCCAGTCTCGATCCCAGTCGCTGACGGCAACGCCGTTTAGTGCCCCGATCTAGTTTTCGGCGCATATTCTCGAACTCGTGGCGTCAGAAGATGCTGCGAATCAGTCCCTGTCAGCCGTCGAAGCTCCCCGGGCAGAACCCCAAGTAGGAAAGCTCATAGTTCCTGACCAAAGGCCGACGGCTCATACTCGTTTTGAGTGGCCCCGATCCACGACTCAAGACCCCCGTTGCATATTGCAACCAAGCCGCATTGCGGGCAAGGACTCTGCGCCCTCACCGTAACACGCCGCGTCGCATCATCACGGCATGGGTCCCCCTCGGCGCATGTGCTCTCCGCCCGGGCATTTTCCCCGCGCCTCTCATCTCCGCCTCCCCCTCCGCCTACTCTCCCGCGACACTCTCCTGCTCTGCGCACTCGCGGCGCTCGTCGTGTCCGCTTCACGTGTATCAGCATATGGCGCTCCGGGAAGCGCAATGGGGACGTTTTACGGCGGACCCGACGCGTCTGGCACCTGGGGTAAGTCACATGGCACGTGGGGAAACGTGTGTAATGAGTCGATTTTTGAGTCGATTTTTGAGTCGATTTTTGAGTCGACTCATGAGGGGGACAGGGACTCAAAAATCGACTCATTTCACATGGCACGTGGGGATACGCCCAAGAGGTAGTCGACTTAGCTGTGGGGAGAGAGTTTGGGATGGCTTTATAGGCCAATTTCGCTTATTTCGTCTTTACCTTGCAATGTAAGTCGATTAAGCTTAATTATGGCCATTTTTCTCTGAACGCCTTTTCGCGCAGGTGGCAACTGCGGCTACGGCAATCTCGTGCAAGCGGGTTACGGCATCCTCGTTGCAGCGGGGAGTCCCCCGCTTTACAAGGGCGGGAAGGGTTGCGGCGCCTGCTACCGGTAAGCACTCGCTTTTATATTGTCACAATAAGGCCCAGTTCCTTGGTGTCGACTCTGCGACTCGCTAGTCCCAATTTGTTTCTCTTGATCATCTGCTCCCTCCTCTCCCCTCTGCTCCACTCGCCGTCCCTCTCTCGTCCTCCCATTCCCGCTCCGTTCCCTCTTCCCCTCGCCCGTTTGCCATTCCCTTCTCTCTTCCTCCCCTGCTGTGCTCTCTCTTCTTCCCCCCGCGTATTTCCCCGTTATAAATAGCAGTGTGTCGTGTACCAACAGCACGTACAAGTGTACTCGTCCTCCGGTTTCATTCCCGCTTCTTCCCCGCTCGATCACATTTCCCATTTCCCGTTTGAACAGTGTGTCGTGTACCAACAGCACGTATTGCAACAAGGGTGTATCCATCGTTGTGGCTATAACGGATCTCTGCCCTGGCGGGGGTTGGTGCTGCCCCACCTGTCGCCACTTCGATTTAAGCGAACCCGCTTTTATCGCACTCGCTAATCGCGCTGCAGGCTTCGTTCCCCTCGCCTACGAACAGTAAGCATGTTTACAGCTCTAGCCGCGCCTCAGCGTTACAAACTCTTTCCCTTCATACTGTCTCACTTACTATCTTGAGAAATTTTCCCGGGGCTGTGTGTTGTTATCTCAATCTTCTAAACATTTCTCTCTCTGGTTGTTTTTTCCTGGTTCCAATCGCAGGGTGCCATGTGTCTTTTCCAACAATATTCGCCTGACCGCAACCGGATCGCCTTTTTGGCTAAACCTCTTGATTCGCCAAGTCGCGGGCCCCGGTGATCTTTCGCTAGTCGAAGTGATGGATTCGAATTCGCCAACGTGGAGACCCATGCGACACGATTGGGGTGCGAATTGGGTGTACGACGCGTTTCTCCAGGCGCCGCTCAAGTTTCGCCTGACTTCGCTGACGGACAACCAGCAGGTGGTTACCAGTCCCGGCTGTCTCCCTGCAGGTTGGATTCCGGCGAAAGATTACGATTGTAACATTCAGTTTCAGTTCGCTGGCGACGGGATGGATGGTAACCACGGCGGGCCCCACGGCGACGGCAGCGGACTATCAGATGCGGCTCCCAGGAATCGAACCAAGGTCACTCGGCCAAATAAGGGGGGTAATTCCCCTCCAGGTACCCCTAAGACTCCGGGTACCCCCAAGTCTCCGGGTAAATCGCCCAGCAAGTCTCCTGTGACCAATTCACCTGGGAAATCCCCGCCAAATGCCCCTGGAGCCAAATCGCCTGTGAAGGGTGGTCATCCGCCGAACGTGGGGCACCATCCCCAGGGCGTGGGGCACCACCCCCCTTCGAAATCACCGTCTAAGAATGGCAACGTTACCGTGGGCCATCACCCCAAGGGAGTGGGGCACAGGCCTGCAGGTGTGGGACACCACAAGCCTCGGAAAGGAGGCTTGGCATCAGCTTCGGCAGCGGTGGCAGCAACTGAGCCGACTGCTTCGGTTGGTGCTGGGGTGAAAGCGGTGCCAGTGGTTGTGCCAGTGCCAGTGGCAGTGGCAACAACTGCTGATCCTGTGGCTCCCCAGAACTAGAAGAGGCAATGAGATGGGAACAGCAGTGGCTGTGGCTGTGCAGTGGCAGTGGCTGTAGATGCGGCAATGCCAGTGGCAATAACTGCAGAACCTGTGGCTGGCCAGAATTATGAGAAGCAATGAGGTGTGAGCAGCAGCAGCACCTGCAGCACCACAGCACTAGCAGTGGGCAGTGGCAGCACCAGCACTGCACCCAACCATTTGAAGTGGTGCCGCCTGCAGCAGCAACAGCAGCAGCACCACCACCACCGCCACCAACACCTTAGCAATATGGCAAATAGTGGGCAGATTTGGGAGGTGAGGTACTGCACGCCGTGGTGTGCTACGGTGCTATACTCGCTGTCTGGAGCTGGGCTGCAGCACTAAGGTAAAACGGTATGGTTGAGCGGTCAGGACTCTGGAGTTACTGCTCCAGGTATACTTGGGGATAAAATCTCAAGTTACATATTTAATTCTATCAACCAGGCAGGTGGTTCAGGTTTTTGTCTCTCAAGGTGCCAAGACGACGTCTTGTGATTTTCGTGCAACGGCGCCGTTATGTAGGCTATGGGCAGAATAGTGTAGTTCGATACACTTATGTTCTATGCAGGGGTATCTGGTGGATGCAACACAGTAGCAGGTCCTTCGTAGCAAGCTGTTCTTCGTAATTCGTGGTGCTGACATGGCTAGTATAGGGGCTGCCTCTTTACATGCAGATGCACGAGCAGCTTCTGCTGCTGGATGGTCGCTCGTTGAAATCTTCATACGCATGCTTCGTGCGATGGAGGCAGCTGTAGCTAATTTGTTCGTATAGTTTATTTTATAACTAACATGGCTTTACTAAGCCAACATATGTCCCTTCTGTCAACACATGGCTTTACTAACATATGCTGTATGTAGAAGTTATAGGCTAGCCTAGGTGTGTGCTTCTAGTGAGTACAACCCCAACAGGTATATGTTCTAGGTTTCTCACACTAGTGATTATCCTTGCATTCTAACATGGTATCAAGCGTAGGTTAGGTCTATTAGAAATTCAAGTGATAGTGATAGAGAGAGAGTACACACAATATAGCTAAGTGTTGTACCCTCTAAGAGGCTACCCTATACAGTCTATACAAACATAACAAATAGACATGTTTGACACACCCCCTAGACTGCATAGGGGAAAGTCCTAAACAAACAGCTCAGGGCGGCACTACTAGTCCAACCTCTGAGACAAGGGTCTGAGCGACCAATCAGAAGGAGTACAAACAAGGCAAGCACAAGAGCAGGGCGGCACTACTAGTCCAGCCACTGGGAGAGGACACAAGTCCAGTCTGAGTATACATATAAAGGACAGTACAAAGTCAAGGTCCTAGCAAGTGAGAGGCTACAGGAACTAGACCAAGCTGTACACAGTGCCGCTGATGATCTTTAGGCGCAAGCGCCTTCGTAAAGATATCAGCCGTGTTGGCACCTGAGGCCAAGTGTACTACGCGAGCCTGACGTCGCTGCTGTAGCTCACGCAGGAGGAAGTACCGCAGCTGAATGTGCTTCGCTCTGTCCTCGAGTCGAGGCTCCTGACACAGGAGGATCATGGCCCTGTTGTCAGCGAACAGGACCGGGGCAGAGCTAGGCCGCTCACCTAAGTCAGTGAGCAAGAAGGTCAGCCAGCGGAGCTCCTGTGCCGCCATGGCACCAACGTAGATCTCAGCCTCACAGCTGGACTGTGCAACAGACGAGGAGCGAGTAGCTCTCCACGAGACGGCACCTGAGCCAAGGCTGAAGCAGTAGCCCTGGGTAGACCGGAGTGTCTCAGCGTCGTCTGCCCACGAAGCGTCTGTGTGCCCAGTAAGGACCACTGGCCTGCGTCCTCCTAGCACTAACCCCATGCCCGATGTACTAGCAAGATAACGCAGAACCCTCTTAGCGGCAGACCAGTGCTGCGGTCGGTGTCTGCCTGTGGCCACAAAGCGAGCCAGGATGCTGAGAGGGTATGCGAGATCTGGGCGAGTGCAAGTCATCAGGTACATGAGGCAACCCACCAGCTCTGCGTAGGGGCCGCTGGGCTCTACCAACTCCTCAGGCACTGGAGCGGAGAGCCTGTGGTCTACAGGCAGAGGGGTGGGCTGTGCAGAGGAGAACTGAAGGCTGAACCTCTGAAGGACCTGGCGCACCAAGTGTGACTGAGTCAGGGTGATGGTGCGCGCAGCTCTGTCCCGGGAGATCTGCAAGCCAAGGTAACGGCGCAGTTCTCCAAGGTCAGTGCACGTGTGTCTCTTCAGCAGCTCTGCCTTCACGGAGGCCAGCGCGTCCCTGTCTGCTGTGGCAAAGACCAGGTCGTCGACGTAAACGAGGATGTAGAACGGAGTCTAGCCAGCACGAACGAAGAGTGAAGGGTCTGCAGAAGACGGAAAGAACTGCAGGTCAGCAAGTGTAGCACGGAGAGTGTCGTGCCACTCACGGGGAGCCTGGCGCAGGCCGTAGACGGGGCGCCGCAGGAGCCACTGGGTCCCAGGAGGGAAGGTGCCAGTAAAGCCCGGAGGGCGGCGCAGGTAGACCTGCTCGTGTAGGCTGCCCTGAAGGAAGGCAGTGGAGAAGTCGAGGGAGTGAAGCTCGTAGTCACGCTGAGCAGCTAGGTGTAACAGAACCCGAAGAGTAGTCATCTTCGGGGTCGGAGCGAAGGTCTGGAAGAAGTCCACCCCCTCGCGCTGACTGAAGCCTCTAGCCACATAGCGCGCCTTGAAGACAGGCGGCTCTCTAGGAGGGCGCTTCACCTTAAAGAGCCAGCGGCCATCGACTACGTTCACCCCAGCCGGGGGAACTGCGTCGACGAAGGTGCCGGTGGATCTCCAAGATGCCATCTCCTGCTCCATGGCAGCTATCCACTACGAGGCCCAGGGTCCCGAAGTCGCCTCAGCGTAAGTGCGAGGGGTCGGGATGTCGAAAGCGTCTGGGTCACCCTCAGGGACTAGCAGCATGGAACAGAGATGGGGAGCAGCCTCGGAGAGGAAAGCAAGCTCGAACTGGCGGTCCTCCAGGACGTCACTGCTGAGGGAAGGAGCACCCCCGACAGACTGAGGACAGGCAGGGTCAGAGACCAGAGCGGTGGCGTAGTCAAGGCGGTGGGTAGAAGCGAAGTCAGCGACAGCAGCGACAAGAGCGTCAAGGCACGAGACCGGAACAGACGGGTCGGTAACGAGAGAGGCAAGGACCCGAGGAACGAGAGGACGAGCGGCACGAAGGTAGTCGGACAGCGGGGGGGGCGCAACAACAAGGGAGGACGGAGGAGGCGACGGGAGAAGGGGAGGACGAGACGCGTGGGAACGAAGCAACATAGGGTGGGAGCGCAAGACAGGCGAGGCAGGACGAGCACGGGAGGGACGGTGAGACCAGACGTGGGACGGAGGAGTCGGGTCAGGAGACAGGGGAGGGGACACAGGAGGGGAACGAGGGGGGAGACGGGCCGGGGACGAGTCCGGCGGAGGGAAAACTGGGCCGTAGACAGGAAGAGGAGGAGACGATCGGGGAGGAACCGACACAGGGTGGGGGGACGGAAGGCCGAGCAGGCGAAGGGCGGACACCGGTGGGGACTGCTGCTGCGGCGGCACAACGGCGACACCTGGACCGCAAGCTGCTCCTCGGCTACCACCGGCACTCTCCACAACGGCACCCCCAGAGGGACCACCCTCAGGGCGACCGGGACGAGCACCCCCAGAGTCAGCGAACGGGGGCTGCGACGGCGGCGGCGGCGACGGCGACGGCTGCAGCGGCGGCAGGGGCGGCGGAGGAGGGGATTGGGGAGGGGACACCTGGGGAGGGGCGGTCGGCGAGGACTGCACCGGAGGGCCACCAGAGTCAGAAGACTCCTCAACCGGGTCCACGGACGGAAGGGGGGTGACGTGGGAGACACCAGAGGGGGCGGGACGGGGAGGAGGAGGAGGAGGGGCAGGGACTACCGGGGAAGGGGTGACCAGGAACAGGGGGGGGTAACCGGGGGACCACGGTGGGGGAAGCGACGGTAGTAGGAGACGGACTCGTCAAAGGTGACGTCACGAGAGTGAAAGAAGCGGTGAGACGGCGGGTGGTAAAAGTGCCAGTCGGACGCGTCAAGGGGAAAACCGAGGAAGACGCAGGGAAGGGTGCGGGCAGTGAGCTTGTCCGTGCCGGAGGCACGGACGTGAGCAAGGCAGCCCCAGACGTGGAACGCAGATGCGTCACCAGGAGACCCAGTCCACAGACGGGTCGGCGAAACCTGCGGCTGCTGAGGGTGCGGCCACAGGTTAAGCTGGTGAGAAGCGTAGCGCACAGCGAACGACCACAGAAAATGGGGTGCACCGGCATGGACCATGGAGGTGCGAGCGACCTCCATGACCAAACCGATGCGTCGCTCAGCGACCCCATTCTGCTGTGGGGAGTCCGGTAGGGTGAACGTCTGGGTGATGCCCTCCGCACGACAAAAGCGACCAAGGACACCTGAGGCAAACTCGCCACCACGGTCGGAGTGAAGACGCAAGACAGGGAGACCGCGGTGGACACGCGCAGAGACAAGCCAGGGGATGAGGGCGCCAGGCACGTCGGCCTTGCGCTCCAGGGGAAAGACTGTGGTGTAACGAGTGAAGTCGTCGACAAGCACAAGGAAGTAGCGCTCGCGACGCGGCCCAGGGACGGGGGCGGGGCCCCAGACGTCCAGGTGCAGGGTCTGCAGCGGCGCGGCGGTAGGGGGGAACGAGGAGGAGTGAGGGGCACGGCGAAGCCGACCCTCGACACAAGGCGTGCAAGGTGGAGCTGGGGAGGAGGGAAACGCGGGGAGTGAACCTGGGAGACCAAGGACAAGACCGTGCTGGGACATGTGACGCAGACGCGGGAGCGCAGGGTGACCTAGGCGGTGGTGCCACAGGAGGGTCGGGTGAGTGAGGGAGCGACAGGAGCAGGCAGCAGCAACCTGGGTAGACACAGCCACCTGAGGGGGCGCTCCAGCCGGGGGGGGCACGGTGTCCAGAGTGAACAGGCCGGACACCGGGTCCCGGGGGAACGTGGACAGGGGGGCACCAGTGGCGGCCTCGGTACAGACAGCATACCGCTCGTGACCAGGGAACGTAGTGGTGACGCCAAGGTCCTGGAGGCAGCCGACACCAACTAGGTTCCTGGAGAACGAGGGGATATACAGACCTGTAAGAGAGCCCGAAGGAACCGCCGGACAGGGAAGGGTGGTGGAACTGCGGGCGACTACCGGACCGCCGGAGGGGTCAGCAAGAGAAACGGCAGCAGGAACAGGAAGTGGCGTCAGGGTGGTGGAGTCGCGGAAGAAACACCGAGAAGCGCCAGAGTCCAAGGTGAAGGATAGCGAAGCCGAGGGGTCTGGCGACGGAACGACAGCAGAAGCACCAAGACTACACAAAGCAGGGGATCCTACGCCTGACGCAGTAGGGGAGGCTAAGCTAGGCACACCTACACTAGGCAACAGTGAGTAATAAGCGGGAAGCACTCTAGAGTCATCAGCATACATCACATGCAGAGCAAAAACAATGGCATCCATGTCCATATCAAAGATCTGAATTTGACAACTAAGCAAACTGTGCCAGTCCGGGAGGTCTGGCGACAGGCCGAAGCGCTGACGGAAGAGGTCGTCCAGGCAACGAAAACAGCGGGGAGTGGAGTGACCGATCTTACCGCAAACGAAGCCGCGGCGAGGACCGGTCTGGATCTGGTACTGACAACGCCCGCCGGCAGAGCCACCACGCGGCACACCACCACGCGCCCGTCCACCGCCAGCGCCGGGCCACCCTGGCGGGAGAACACTCGTCTGCCGCGTCTGCGACGGCTGCTGCGGCTGCTGCGAAGGCTGCTGCGGCTGCTGCAACTGCAGG